AGTGGTATGCAGAGACAGATCTCTGGGTGGCTTGAATCACTTTATTTGCTTTGTCAAAAAGGGTTAAAAGAGCTTATGATAAAGTGTGTTGTGAAGTGTTCTTCTGTTCAAGCAATCACAGAGATACCAGTGCTTCACCTCCTAATCTGAGGGAAGGAGAGATGTTCACTGGTGAGAGAGTGTGATATGTGAGAAATATAATTAGAACGTGATTAACTCAATGAGACAGTAAGAGAGCACTTGAATTTGAGGATGCAAGGGAAGCCTGCCCTGTTCCTCAAGTCACTGCTCGTAACTGGATCAACTTTTTGAAAACTGTAATGGCTCAAGTCTGTCAACACCATGGTACAAACTCTGATACTGATCAGAGCTCACCTTTTCTTCTAAGCTCCAAATTGGCAGGCAGGTTTTCCATGACATGTTAGGTGACACATGTCAGGCCATACTGCTATGAATGAGGGATACTCTTTTATATTTCTGTTTAATATCTAATAATAAAACCTCTAAAATCTTGTGTTTCCAAGGAGGAAATCTCTGTTTATTTATGAACATCTCTCCTTACTGCTCCTTCTGTCATTCCTAATGAAAAAGACTTGGTTCCACTGCAAAGTAGAATGGATCCATAACTAACTACATTAGCTTAAAGCTTTATGCTTCTTTTTAATTTCTTTCCTTGCTGAGGCTTTTTGCCCACTGTGCATATTTATTGTATAATCACTTTTTCTGTCGGTGGAAGGTGATTTTGTTTCCCTCTCTATAAAAGATTAAACCCAACTTGGTCTTGGATCTTTAAAAGATGTTCTTGCAAGCCCATGGACCATTTCTTGGTAGGCGAAGGTTACACTATCGGGGTCAGAGCAAGGAGTTGCTGGTAAATAAAGATGAATTTCCTATCTGCAATCCGTTTCTCACTTTATTTCCTATTCATAGCTAATACAAAATGAGTCAAGAATGACATGTCAAATTAATCTTTGTATGAATTGTAGACAACAGGGTTTAAAAAGGAAAGATAAAAGTTCTCAGTGTTAAATTTGGTTTAATGTTATTGCCGATGTTCAGTCACGTTCAGGCATTTTCAGGATCCATGGATATCACTAAATAATTTTTTGACAATGTAAAACAGAACAGTTACTAAAAAAAACCCAATCAAGCTTATATGTGAAAGAGGAAAATAAAGCATGAACTGTACAAAGGGAAAAAAACAAGGTTCTTTTCTAGTGTGTATTATTTACTCTCAGTGCCACTGCTGGATATTGATCTCGATTATGGTACATTATGTCTGAAATAACTCCCCTTAAATCAGTAAAAACTGCTCCACATTTACCGTAGATAAGCTTCAGCAATTGATTCATTAGCAGTGGCATAATTTTTAGTGTCATTATTCTGGATTTACAGGTCACCACTGACACTTCCTCAGGTAGTTGAAGTACAGGTCTGCTTCTCACTCTGCCATAGTCTGTGTGATGAGGAATCACAGCCCTATGACTGTGAGAAAGGGAATGAAGAGTGCAATTTGCAGCAGGCAGAGCACAGGGAATATGATTTTCATTGCAAGAAAGGATGATACTGTGATTCATTGTGCTGGGATGCAGGGGCTCAGACTCAGTTCCTAGCTCTGCCATAATCTTGTTGTGCAAGTCATTCTTCTAGTCTCGGCATTTCTCCAACATGAATAATAATACTAAATTTCCTGCTTTGTCTTGTTACTGAAACTGGGAAATTTCTGGAGCAGGAACCATTTTCTGCTCTTGTGTGTTTATTAATAGACCAGATAATTGCAGCTCCCAATTCTGTAACATAAACCATCGAGTTCCTGGAAAGGAGCCCTGGTGCTTTGTGTCACTGGTCTTTTTGTCACTGGCTAAAATGCTGCTGAAATAATTTGTGCCTGTTAAGGGCAGGCAGAGCAGGCTGTTTATATCTAGAATGGATATGCTTTGTCTCAAGTATCTGAGCAAATCATGTCATGTTTCAGTATCTTCATTCAGAATATGGAGGTGCTGTGGCTTTGGTGGTTTGTTTTTGTGTCACAGTGGCATTTGGCAGACACTTGGGAGCCTTTTCCAGGGCATAATCTGATATACGAACATGACAATATTATGAAGCCTGGACCTTGCAAACACTGCCTGAGCCACACTAGATTGTCTGGTTGTCTGTGGGTTAATTCGTGCTCGTTACTTCTTAACAAAACTTACAGTGCCTTTATAGAGCCACTCAGGTGACTCAGAGGTTGTGTGAGAAATGTTTAAATCGGATAAAAAAACATTAATTTTACACATAGTTCAGGATAAGCCTGACTTCAAGCCTCAGGAGAAGCATTTGGGAATTTATGGGAGGTTCAGTTGTTTTGGATTTTGCACCTTAGCCTCTGTAAGGGACCTTAGTTGGACCAGCTTGTACCAGCCTGTGCAGTTGTACCAGCAGGGTGATGGGGAGGGAGATCTGTTGCAAACCACACAATATCTTTTCAGATTTTTCTGTTCCTATGCATGATCAAGCTTACCCAGAATCTTCTCTGAGGAACTCCAGAGGACACAAGAAGCTGTGACTAGAACTACAAGACATTCCAAAATCTGCCTCTGTGCCCAGCTGTTTGCTGCCTTGCTATGTTTTTAACCTTTAGCAAGATACTGTCAAGTTCCTTTCCATATTGCAAATAAAATCCATTTTAAAATTGGCACCCAATTAGATGAGATATCTTAGTATCCTGGAAGTTTGTGATTCAGTTTTTACATGAAGGGGCTCCTGTAAGGACTCAGGGAAAAGGACAGAAGAATATTTTTTAGTTTTAAGGCATGAATTAAATTTGAAGTATTTAGTAATTATAAAGAGGCTTTAGTTAGAATAATGCTAATTTTGGGCTTATATATCTGTGTTTGGACTTACTTGTGTACTTATTTATACTTATGTGTATAAATGTTTTGCTTTGAGCCCAGCAAGGAGCTCTCAGTAAGTCTTAATAGATTTTTATATAAAGTTGCTACATACTTGTTTTTATCTGCCTCATGAATATCCCAACTTCTGTTTAATTTCTTTTCTGAAGGATGGCGTGGTGCTGGTCCACTGTAATGCAGGAGTCTCCCGTGCAGCAGCTGTAGTCATTGGTTTTCTAATGAATTCAGAAAGACTGAGTTTTGCCAGAGCCTTTTCCATGGTGAAAAACGCGAGGCCCGTGGCTTGTCCAAATCCTGGCTTCATGGAGCAGCTTCACAAATACCAAGAACAGATTGTAAAAGAAAATGGAAGCATAAATGATCATGACTGATCAAAAGGGAGAAGGGAAGCAGTCTGTTTTGACTATACAGGAACAGATGTTGGATGCCCTTTAATCTATCATTTTGCAATCTCCTTTTCACTTGTGCATTTTCCAGTCATCACATATTTTTTTCCTAGGTTCCTTTGACCCTGTTTCTTTCAGCATGTCATCTATAGGCCAGATGATTTTCCACTGACTTCAGAGAAGTTTTGCCCAAGAACAAGCTCTTCCTAGAGTGCTAAGAGAAAGATAAAGTTAAATTTTCCTTGAAATAGTAAAAAATACAGAATGATGGTGGGTTTTTTATGATACATCAGAAAATGCAGGCAATAGAGAAAGATAATAAAATAACTGAGATAAGTTGCCCTGTTTACTTTCCAAATGTATGCATTCTATTCGGTTGTAAAATCTAGATAATAAAATGTTCTTATAATGAAGTACCTTGATATTTATCTTGCAAGTAAAGAGGATTTTATTGATTTTTGTGCGCTAGCCAGCCATTAAATTTTTTTTGAAATTAAAACAGATGGTCTTTTGAGGACGCTTAAAATTTGTAGGATGCTTTCATGCTTCGTGTCTTTCTACCGTTTTTCATCAAGTAGTGATTTGAAGTGCACTAACGTGATGTTTCCAAAGAGCTGGAACCAGCAGAGGTTTTTTTTGTTAATCACTTTGGTGGAGATATGAAAAATGTTGTTGATAACAACCTATCTGCTCACTGCTCTTCCCTTTCCTTCACATTCAGTCCACTTTTTGTTCCCTCACTCCATTCCTCACCATGTCTAGAGAATGGACATCATAGGATAGGTAACTTTAGCGCTCCTGAGACATCTTCAGGCTGGAATTACTGTTTTAAGATGGCATGTTCAATATACACACACACACACACACACACACACAAAATCTGTAAAAGATTTTAATAGTATTTTTTGTGGCCTTCACACCAGTTCTTAATGGTTTGATATATTATTATGCAGTAAAATAAAAAGATCACTGTGTTTGGATAAATTGTGTGCTGAAGTGACTGGAACTGTTTGGTTTCAAGACTGATGTTCTTGGTACCAATAGCCTGAACTTTTGCGTGCCACTGTGTTTGAACCACACCGTGACTGCTCATGCTCAGGAGTGTAGTGACAGGGCAAGAGGGAATGGATCCAAACTGACAGAAAGTTTGGATTAAATACAAGGAAAAAGTTCTTCCCTGAGGGTGTACACCCAGGCGTGTACCAGAGAAGCTGGGGCTGCCCCATCCTGGAAGTGTTCAAGGCCGGGCTGGACGGGGCTCGGAGCAACTTGGGCTAGTGGAAGCTGTTCCTGCACACGGCAGGAGGGTGGAAGATTATCTTTACGGTCCCTTCCACCCCGAACCATTCTATGACTCTGTGCTAATGCGGGGTTTAGGCAACCGCTCTGCATCTGATCGCTGTCCCTCGGTCACCGTGCCCGTGTCGGTGAGGGAACCGGTGGCAGCGTCGTAGCCCGGGCTGGGGGGGCTGTGGCAACCCGGGCAGTGACCACAGTCCTTTCCTTGGGGAGTCAGGGTGGCAGCAGCTTTGAGTTGTCAGCCCGTGGAAACAACGCAGGACAAGCTCTTGTAACGGTTCCTTCAACTCTTTTCGCTTCCTGGCCCTCCGCGGGTGTGTGTGTGTGGGGGGGGGGGTCGTGACGGGAGAGCCCGGCTGGGGCAGACACCAGGCTGGGGCAGATGCCGGGCCCCGTGAGGGCGCTGCTGCTGCTGCTGCCGCCCCAATCCCGCCCAGGATGGCGGGGGGCGGATCGGAAGTGACGGCGGGAGGAAGCTCCGTCCCGTTTGAAAGTGCCCGGCGGAGCCGCCGCTGCCCACTGTTCCCCGCCCGGGCCGCCATGGCCGCCTTCGCCATGGAGCCGCCGCCCGCAGGTGAGCCGGGCCCGGGAGCCGCCTCAGGAGGGGCCCGGCGGGTCCCCCGGCGCCACCCGCGCTCCTGTGTCCCGGGGAAGGCAGCGCTGCCGGCGCTGCCCCCCTTGCTCCAGGCCAGGAGGAGTCTGGGTGCCGCCAGGCTGGAGGGGGCGGTGGGAGACGGGGCCGGGACGGGGCGGTTCCCTCTGGGGTGAAGCCGAGTTGAACCGGTTGCGAAAAATGCGAGGCTATGGTAAACTTGGTTTGCTTGCAAAATGAATTATTAGAACCGTCTTTGGAACCATTAATGCACGTAAATATCTCAAAGGCGGGTGTGAGGAGGATGGTGCCAGGCTCTTTTCACCGAGTAATGAGAACAGGATAAGGAGGAATCACACAAGAAGTTTCACCTCAGCATGAGGAAGAACTTCTTTCCATTGCGGGTGGCGGAGCACTGAACGGGCTGTCCCGGCAGGTCTCGGGGTGTCCCTCTCTGGAGGCATTCCAGACCCTCCTGGGCACGCTCCTGGGTCACCTGGCAGGTCCCTTCCAACCTTAAGGAAGGGTTCTGGCATTCTGTGATCTTAATCATTTGCTGTATCTTGTGTTACATTTCTTTAATAGAACCACAATCTAAGCAATGGAAAAAAGCTAGATCACTCGTCTTTTTCCTGGTTTTACGTTTTGTTTTCAGGAGCTGAGCCAATGACTCTTGGCTCCCCGACATCTCCCAAACAAGGAGCTGGTGCTCAGTTTCTTCCCGGGTTTTTGATGGGTGACTTACCTGCACCAGTGACTCCCCAGCCACGTGCTTTATGTGGCCCTTCGGTTGGAGTAATGGAAACGAGGTCTCCACTACTTGCAGGTCAGAATTCATAAAATGCTGAAAAATTATCCTGAAAGTCAGAAATTGCTTTGTCTAGTTGTTCTGCTTGACTGTTGCAGTTTGAATCCTTGCAGTTTCATAACTTGCTGGTGTCTGCTGTCATTGGACTGAAGTAGTTTTGGCTCTTGCCAGCTGTAGATGCTCATTTCTTTTCAGTGACCTGATTGATTACACTAGGAAGAGTCCTTACCCATGGTTTTAAGTTGATATTATTATGTCTGTTTTCTTCTTTGAGAAGTATGAGGGAGTAGTTAACACATCATGGGTGGTCTTGGCTTTTTTACTCAATCAGTTGGCATAATTTAATATCTGATGGTGTTAATAGTCATCTTGAAGGAGAAATTGAGGATTAAGGTACTGTAAGATAATTTTAGGTATTCTCTTCTTTGAATGTCAGGCAGGATTGGATTCAATGATCCTTCTGGGTCCCTTCCAACATAAAATGTTCTATGATTGTTAGTGTGTTGGTCTCCTACTTCTTGCTGTTGTCTGCCTTTCCTGACCCCATCAAGTACAAACCTCTTTGGGAAGTATTTATGACATTGAAAGTAATCATGTGGATTTCACCCGACTGATTTTAAAAGGATTTATTACAGTCTCAAAGTATCAGTTTTAGAAAAGGAGGAAAGAGTGAGGTACTAACACAGGCTTACCAAAATAAGGGATTAAATACATCACTAAAACTGAAAACCTTGATGGGAGAGTGCTTTGTATAATATACAGTTATTGTATGTAAGGGTAGCGGTTCCTGTAGGTGTTAAACACTTCAGAGTGGAGTCTTGAAGCTCAGAATTTTAGGATTGAAAAGTACTTTGGAAAAGCTTAGTTTTTAAATGTTTTGCAAGTGAAAACTGTTAGGTGTTGTTTTGTTTTTTTTTTTTTTTTTTTTCCCCTGAGGTAAGCCCACACAAACTGGTTCTTTCAGTCAGTTTAATTTCTACTGGAAGTCCCAAAGTTTATGGGAGAGAAGCTGGCTTAAAGAGCAAGTGCATGTTAACAGAGTATCAAGGGTCAAGAAGAGGTCTAAAAGTTTGAGATGGTACTTCTGTAAGGGTACAGTCTAACACATATGTTATGTAGACCATTCAAACCTGAACAGATGGTCTTGCAAATGCCCAGTGAAACAACCAGCAGTTTTTTTCATGGCTGAATTTACCACTGGAGATTCAAAAACAAGTAGCAGTGGAGTGAAGTGGCAAGTTTTCTGATGCTCTTCCTTCGTCCCTTTAAATTGCAGGAGGATCTCCCCCACAGCCGGTCGTCCCTACACATAAAGACAAAGGTGGTGCTCCCCCAGTTAGGAGCATTTATGATGAGTTATCTAGTCCTGGGCTTGGATCAACACCTCTAACCTCAGGAAGACCAGTAAGTGTCTTTGGGACTGGCCTGTTCTTAACAGAAGATGTGGGGCAGCTTCCTGCCTCAGTGAATTCTTCAACCTGGTTTTGTAAACTGTAGCAAAACGATGGGTGAGCCTTCAGCTCGTCTGGGTGTTTGGTGTGCCTGCTCCTGTGCAGACTAAATTGAGAGCTGCTGTCATGAAGCAAACCTCTGTCATTACGGTAGAGAGTGAGAAAAGCAAATCGTGCCTCAGCTGTGCTTTGTATTACAAATTGTTGCAGATTTTCACCTTGTAAACTTATTGAGTTGCTGATGGCCAACAAGGCACTTTCACTACCTGAAAGGAGGTTGTAGACAGATGGGGGTTGGTCTCTTTTCCCAGGTATAACAAATGATAGGAGAAGAGTGAATGGCCTCAAGCTGCAGCAAAACGATGTTTCGATTGGATACCAGGAAGAATTTCTTCACTGAAAGGGCTGTCAGACATTGGAAGAGGCTGTCCAGGGAAGTGTTGGAATCAGCATCCCAAGAAGTGTTCAAAAATCATGTGGATGTGGCACTTAGGGACATGGTTTAGTGGTGCAGATGGCAGTGCTGCATTAATGGTTGGACTTGATCTTAGAGGTCTTTTCCAGCCTGGACAATTCTGTGTTTCTATGGTTATCTTTTAGTGGGCAATAGATGCACTTCTTGAAATAGAAGGCATTTTTTTCTGAGTAAAATATCTAATCAAAATTTGGGTAGGCAGGTGGGGTTAATTTTGAAAGAGGAACACTAAAATTTCTGCCAGGTAATTTTTATAATAAGCTCCCCTACTTACCTCAACTGAGTAATGGAGCATTATTGGTTCTTTTTAATGGGACGTGATCCTTCTGATGCAAGGAGAATGCTTTCCACTGAATGAGCAGTCTTTCTATTGAATGTTGCCTTCTGAAAAGTTTGTTCTGAAATCTGAGGTTCCCTGTGACAGACAGAATCCAATAGTGTCTCTAAAGACTGGATGTTAAATTAAAAAAAAAAGTATTGCACAGCTATCAGAACACATGTTGCTTTGTCTGCAGGTACTCCAGCTTGTTTGGTCTTGTACCTAAGAAATGCCATGATTCAGGTTAAAAATACTCTAAAATTGGTTTGGATGTTGAAATCCTGTGTTAAAACAGAAAGAAAGTACTAACAGCTAAAACTTGAAGTATCCTTTCCTTCAGTGTAGTTGCATTAAATACTTGAGCAGGAAAGTAAGTCTAGTAGTGAGAAATACAAGCGATCCCATGATTTCTGAACCCTTTAGGAAGTGAAAATTAGATGCTGGTAGCTTAGGATACTGACATTGTTCCCATCAGCATGCACATGAACGTGTGAATTACTGTACCGCAGCAATAAGGGGGATGACTATTTTAAAAAAGCTAAACTATGAGGTTTCTGAGTACTGATACTTAAAGCTACTTTGCTTACAAAGCAAATGTCAAGTACATTTAGACACAAATAACTTTTCATTAGTATCTCTTTATAATCTTGTATTAAACATACATGTTCTTACTCTTAAAAGCTAGGAATAAGTTAAGGCAACAGTTAATATTCTTGCCTGATGCTTGAATCACCTGAAGATGATCTCTTTTGAGCTGAGCAGTGTATACCTGTAAGAATGATTTGTTACTTTCTGTGTTTTACTGCAGGCCAACTTCTCGTTAACACAGAGCCCATCGGTTGGAATTCTGCCATCAACTCCAGGCACAGGTAGATGTCCTGTCACAAGATATAATCTGCTTTCATATTGCTTTCATTAATACAGAAGAGTCATCACTGTTGAAGCTACATCAACTCTTTCCTAATTTGCAAAGGAGTTGTGTGTTAGCTTTTCAGAAGGTGTATGGATATGAGTAGGAAATAATTATCCTTTCTGACACTTACTGAATTTTGATCAACTTCACTTATTCCTTATTCAAAAAGTGTTGAACTGAGCACAGAGGTGGCTGTACTTGAGTGAAGCAGCTGAGATTGATGGGTTGCCTTCTATCTTCATAAGGTTTCTGACCTTGTGTTAGTCGTGAGACTTAGTAGGCTGCTTGTGGAAATGAGATTTGGATTGACTTACTTCTTGTCTGTGAGTAAATCTCCATCAGACTCCTCTATATACTAGTGAAACGCTTGATACTGAATTTATTCTTTTATTATAGACTTTTAAGCTTATCTGTTTTGCAAAAGAAATCTGTTCAACAACACCATTTTAATTTAACAGCTTCAAGTGTGTTCAGTCCTGCAAGTATTGGGCAGCCTAGGAAAACCACTCTGTCTCCTGCTCAGCTAGATCCTTTTTACACTCAAGGTGATTCCCTTACTTCAGAAGATCAACTTGATGACACATGGGTAACTGTATTTGGGTAAGCTGATTTCCAAACTATTAGAAAAACCTGGGTGAAGCCTTCATGACATATGAAGGGAAACACTTGGGCATTGCTGTTGTCTGGCATTCGTAGGTGTGCAGGAAATACAACTGTGGTTAAAGCAAGCAAACATATTTTCTAGCAAGTCACCTTAACTTAAGCTAAATGTTATTTTTTTCAAGTTAGAAAGGCACCATTCTGCCATGGAGGTGTGTGGTGAAGTAAAAGTGCCTAGGAGGTACTATTGCTCTAAGATGGTTTCACACTGCTCTCTTCGGGATTTCTGTAAACTCTTAATAGGGTTGTATTTTAGCACCTGAATTCTTAAACTGCTAGTAATTTTTTTTCCATTTTTTCTGTCCTTCAGGTTTCCTCAAGCATCAGCTTCCTATATTCTTCTACAGTTTGCTCAGTATGGAAACATATTAAAGCACGTGGTATGTCTTAGTTTGATACTTATTTCTGAAAGTGTTGGGACTCCTGGATTTAAGAGGCTCCATTTGACCATTTTCACCTCATTTCCTGCAGATGTCCAACACAGGAAACTGGATGCACATTCGATACCAGTCGAAGCTTCAAGCCCGAAAAGCCTTAAGCAAAGATGGAAGAATTTTTGGTGAATCCATCATGATTGGTGTCAAGCCCTGTATAGATAAAGTAAGTTAAGAGCTACTTTTAGTAAAACATGAGGCACTTTTCCTTTGGTCTTCCTTTTTGTTTTTCCTGACCTCTTTAATTTTTTTTTTTTTTTAATTTTGGAATTGCAGAGCATATACAGCTGTATAGGTATAGAATGTTACATATTACACAAGTTCTTAAGTATTTGTCAACATTTCCTGCTGAGGAGGATCATTGTGGGCAGTCTCTGCCGCCTGGAAGTTGCAGTGCACAGAATTATACTGCTGTCAAAGATAGTGAAATGAAACTGTAACATGAGACAACTGAGAGAAGTTTTCCAACTGGAATTTACGGCATTCAGGGGCTGCAGTAGATAAATGATGGCAGACTGAGACTGTTGCTGCTCCTCCTTATTGTCCCTCTCTTTTTAATGTGACTATTTATGTTTTTTCTGGCTTTTTAGTTTGTATATCAGTACACTGGACTGAAAATTTGCCTCCCTAGGCTAGTTGGTATTTCCCACTGTGTATCCTCTGGGTTCCTGTGGAACTCGTGGTGCCCATCAAGTCACTTGATGCCTCTTTCATTTTTCATACATTCCTATCTAAACATAAGCTTACAAAATGGAGCCTTCTGGCTTCTCTTCTAGCATTTGCTGAAGGGAGTGAATGAAACTCTTCGGCAAGCTGAGCCTGAGCACGAGGTGAGAGTTGGTAAAGGCTTGGAGACAGTCTTGTCTGGACCAGGTCAAATATTTTGGAAGTATTTAGAAAGGGAGTGTTATGCTACTTTGTTCCACTGGGCCTGAAACAAGTTAATACTTGAAGTTTGTTGCAAGTAGTACAATATATTTTCTCTACACAGTTTCAAGCTTGGTTGACATTTAGTACAGACAGTGAACAGATTCCAGGCTTTCACCAGTTCGCAATGGCATAATCCAACATGTGAATGATTGCAGTGAGGAAAATGCTTGATGGTTGTCTGTGCCTGTGTGCTCTTTACTGACTTATCTTTGAGATGGGCATAGATTTTTATCAAACAATTTTAGATAGTAGAGAATTTTAGATAATGAAGGTTGGAATACTGCTTTTTAGTATTTGTTTACGTTATATTAACCCTCTTTTTAAGAGTGTGATGGAAAACTCCGAAAGAAGCTCTGCATCCTCAATGTCTTCAGTTTTCACTCCACCTATGAAATCTACTGGCACACCAGTACAGCCTGCAAATAGTACTACAAGGATTTCTACAATGAGACCTCTTGCAACAGCATATAAAGCTTCCACCAGTGACTATCAGGTATTTTAAGCATGTGTTTTTGTGCTGTCTCCCCTTGGTTGAGGCTGTACAGACATTAACTTCAGTGTGATCTTAGCTTTTATCTTTTGCTGTCATTTCTTTAAAGATGTGGTCCCATCTGTTCAGTTTCTAAAATAATAATAATAAATACTAAATTAGTTATTTGTCTCTTTTACGGGGACTAAGGGCTTGTTTTGAAATTATTTCAAACGTATTTTGTCAAAATATAGTAGTCCTTAGGAAAAGAATTAAAAATGGGTTAGAGTAAAAAGGATTAGCTATATTGACTGACTCTCTGTTTTCTCTCTTCTTTTTTTCTCCCATTGTAGGTGGTTTCTGACAGGCAGACTCCTCGAAAAGATGAAAGTATTGTATCCAAAGCAATGGAATATGTGTTTGGCTGGTAATGCCCAGGAGGAAGTACCACACTCAGCTGGTCAGGGTTTGAGCTGGCATCCGTGGTTAGTTGTATAACTACTGGTGGTATTTTATCTCCCACTGCGCCTGTTATGCCTTCAGTTAATTCAGCAGACATGTAGCTTGCACTTTAAATGATGGCAGTGTACACGTGGTTTTGCAAACTGAGTAAGTGTAAATAAAAGTGCTTTATTCCCATTTGTGCTCCAATTGCATGACTGTAGAAAAAATGTCAGCACTGACTTCTCTATAATTGCTTTCTGGGAGTTATTTCCCAGTAAGCTGGAAATGCTTAAAATGGCAGCTACATTTACTGATGCCTTTAATTAATTTTTTTTTCACCCCTCTGGAGAGGTGATAGGCTACTTGCAAGAAGAAAACTGCACAGCTGGCTCCCAGGGACAGGGTCTGTTCTTAGTATGTGGGATTTGATTTTATTTTTTATTAGGATTCATTACTGTTTTATAATTATCTCTGGCATACTGTTCTGAATGTCGTAGCAACCTTTTAACTCTTTTTTTTAAATTAATAAAGATCAAATGAAGTTTCTTTTCCTTAGTTTGGTTTTTAAACAAGTATGAGTTCTTTTAGGAAAAACTATTTGCTGTGCTCTTAACTATTAAGCATGGTACTGTCTAATGTTTATTGAAGTGTTATCAACAGAGGAGGTGCTGCTGATTTTTACAAAGAAGTACCAACTGGGTTTCAAACTAGCTAGTGGTTAAATGTCATCTTTGTGGGTATTTTATAGCACTGTGCACTTAACAGGTAACAAACTGTAGCATTCTAAACTATAAAACATGGAGTTGAAATAGCTAAATAGAAAAATGCAATGTTTGGTGACCACAGCTTCTTTCATTTCAAGGCTTTTCTAAGAAATTTTCTCTTAAGGTATTGGCTGAATGATTTTTATTTTTTAAACAGAAATTTCCCCCTGGAAGTTTGGGAGATGAGCCTCTCAAGTAGTCATGTGTGTCATTTAAGCTCATAGTCTCATTCCTCTGGGAAGAGAACAATTTTTTTTCATTATACTTGAGAAATTACTATTCCTTTTACAATTTTGGGGCTGTGTTAGTGTGGTCAACATCAGCCTTTTAGTTTGGGTCATTCGTGTGTTGGTCAGGTGAATCCAATTATACCCATTTCCATGCTTTGCTTCCCACTGCAGTGTGGTCTCAGAGTCCTTCAGCTGCATTCCTCTGATAAAATGAGATTGAAAGATTAGTCCAGCAGCATGTCTAATGTCCCTCAGGTGCTAATGGGCATCCAGTTTACAGGATTACACTAGAGAGAGTCCTGACTAAAATCCCCCAAACAGTGAGTGAGAAGTAAGGTTTCTATCCTGGGGCACTTTGTTCTTCACTGAATGCTTTAGAAGTAACCCTCTGCAGGCAGATTCAGAGATTTTTGAGATGCATTTGACTGATTTCCTGGCTTATGCTTTTGGAATATTGGTTGCTACTTATCCATTTGCATTTGATCCAAGGGAACTGCTCAAACTTAATACCTGAACGTGTTTTCTCAAATCACGTCTGGCTTTTTCTTGGCCAAAAGGATTTGCCATGCATATGACTTGGGAAAAATAAAGGTAGTTCACCTAAATTGTTGTTTTGCTAGTTGCTTTGCAGAATACATTTCTGGTGTGCTGCAGAGCTGTGATATGTGCTGGATTTGGTGTAGTGAAGTGATAATGTTGAACCTGGACCAAGTAAGTCTGAAGATAAATACATAAGGAAGGAGCTGGAGCCCAAGACAGTCGTCTGCTGATCTCCTTTACCAATAAGTAACAGATTTAAAACTGTGCTGTTTGCTTCCTCAGTTCTTTACCTTACTTTCTTGTTTCTCCTAACTTTAGGAATGACTATTGTAATCAGTTATTGCAGCTTCCTGAAGAGTAGACTCCCACACTTGGGAGTAGTGGATGTTGTTTACTTTGCTCTGGAGGTAGTAAATAGGGGAAGAAGAAAGTTCAGAATGTGTGAATCTTAGCACTTCTGGACAGGATCATTCAGAAGTTATGTGGCTACTGCTGGTGTGTTACTCAGGGATCTAATTCTCTTAGTATATAGATCTGCACAGGTTGTAAATTTTAAAAGGGTTTGTTGTATTGTTTCCGTGGCAATTACCCTACAGTTTAAAATTCTTTTTGTTAAAGACTTTTATAACTTGGGGATGATGTTTATTTTTTTCCTTCTTTTTCCCTTCTACCCCTCCTCAGTTGAACTTTCTAGTAACTTTCAAAGCAAGTGATGTGGTAATTAATTCGGGTAATTAATTTACACTAACATAAAATGAAGACACTGCATCACTTCTGCCTCTCATTTCAAGTTGTAGGCATCTACCTCCACCGTGTGGCAGTTCTTCAGAACTTTAATGAGACGTTTAACTGAGAGTGAAAGGAATATGGGATCTTAATTGTACTTCAGTTGGGAAATGTATAAACAAACAGTACTGTGAGAAAATAGTGGTGTTCAACGATATTTTAGCAGGATATGCCACAATATCCATTTCTTTTATGAACAAAATTGCCCTTTTTCTGATAGTTTGTGTAGATGTGTAAAAATGGAACCCTTGCATTAATTTCCTTTACTTTGTCAGTAGGTGGCTATACCACAGATGAGTCTGCAAAAATATGCTGCTTAACAGTGTTTAGGAACAATAAGCTGCTCAGCTGTTGAGTGAAACCAAAATAAGCTGGCTCACAAACAACTTGGAACTGGGAGCTGGTTTACTGAATTTTGGACTGCAGGTGAGAAGGCTCTGGAATAAACATTCTAGATCTTTAATAACAACATTAGTCCTCGAGTTACTTCACAGCTTTGTGGTACTGCCTTTTTGTACTGGTTTGGACAGGAGTAAAATGTGTTCTTGTGGTGTGGTGTGTCTCAAAATGCAAACAGTACTGACTGTCAAACTTCTGCTAGTTTTTATAAATCAGTGTTCAGTCAGTGGAGTTACCTTTAAAAATGAATCCATAATTAATAACTTTGTAAAAAGTGTTTTACCTTTATTAAGGAATGCTTTGATGCAGATGTGTGGTTGTGTCGTGTATGAACTTTGCTTCTATCAACAAAATCATATTTTCCGCTTTTTTGCAAGTAAAATGCCTTGAAATCAGGAGGATGTCTGAGAAGCTGTAAATTCTGGTGTCCTGTGTCATCAGATGTCTTGGTCCTTCAAGTTTGTCAGTTTTGTAAGTGAGCTTCCAGCTTAAATAAAGAGTTTATTGCTGATGTAAGCAGATGCAGTTAAAGTGATCCCAAAATTCTGGTCTCTGTAGATGAATTGTGGGTTTTGTTCCTTACGGTCCTTTCCATGAAGTTGGAGACTCTTCTGATTAGAAACAGCATGTGGGTGAGGAATTTCTCTGGACTGTCACTGTTTTATTGTTCTCAGTTTTTGGTATGATTTACTGCAAAAATCAGAACATATTTTGAACATATCTCTCGTAGGGATGAACTGCTTTTTTCAGTATGAAAAACTGACAACTTTTCAGTGATATTTTTTCCTCCCTGTTGTGTATGTCAACCACCTAATTTTTGGGTGCTAGTATGTTAACTGGTGGTTGTTCTTTTGCCAAAACTGTTTCCTCCTGGCAACTAAATGTGTAGTTGGCTAGAAAGAATTACAGTTATGAAGTTGTCTATAATGACGAAAAAAGCACGGTAAGATGCATTTTTTAAACTGTTTAGATATTTTAATATATACATAACATACATTATAAATTCAACTGGAGTCAGTTTCCAGCCCCCTGCTGAAAAACCCTTATCAATCCAGACTACAACAGAAGTCAGCACTAAAGTCAGCCATAAAACTGGCACTGAAAAAAGGTCTTTGCTGCAAAGTAACCAACTTCTTTTGCCCAACGTGCTTTCTCAGCAGGTGAGCATGTTAACTTACTGGGCTATCTGGCAGAGCATTCTTAGCTCCCCTTTCCAAGTTTGCAAATTTGATTTCTCTCCTGTGTAGAACTGCCCCGTGGATCAGATGGAGCTGCTGATTCAGTGAAATGCAGCGGTCTGCAACGTATTCCCCAAGCGTGTCGTATCACATTGCAGCAGATGAAATAAAGTTCAAAGTGTCCATCATAGGGTGCTATAATGGGCTATTGATTTTTTTTTTTTTTTTTTTAGGTGCCACAGTTGCTCTTTTTTGTAACTGAGTTGTGCTCGTGAACGTATGAAAGTGTTTGTTTGCAGACTGAAGATCATAAAGCGTGAAATGCCTCATGTACAGGCTGCACAATGGTCTCTTATTAATGATCCTTGTTTTTTCCACATGACTGCATTAACAGTGGGCTTGCATAGCTATTGAATAGTGTAGGTTTTGTTCTTGCTAATGGTAAATTGGGGAGAAAATGCCCTTATTTAGACTTGCCATCTTTCCAGTTTCTAGCAAGTGCAGTGACTCTTTACACTGAGAAGCATCAAACAGCTTTCAATCCAGGTAAATAGCAGAATTGGGATAAAAATGGCTTGGAGCATCTTTCTAAAAATTAATGTTATGCACAAAGACCTGCATAATTAAAAATCGAAAATGTACTTTTAATTATGTTGTTAAGGGGACAATCAGCCAAAAAGACATAATGATTATAACTGCAATAGAATTGTTTTAGGGGAGTGGGTGGCAGTAATGACTGCCTCCTCAGCTTTGAGCATTTAGATGCTGCTGAGCATCTTAATAGTTGAACCTTGAAATGTTTTGGCTTTTTTTTTTTTTTTTTTTTTTTTTCAAATCTAAATAAGAGTTTCTTGTGGAAAAGGTCCTGAAAGGTAGTTTATGATTCTCTGTCTCGAGTTGGAAGGGACCTATAAGGAACCTGGAGAAATGTGTGTGTATGCCACAGTTAGGGTGTCATTGGTGCAACGTCTAATGTGGCAAAGACCAGGTCAAGTGTCGGTAGTCAAAAATGAAGAGTGACATTTGTAAGGCATGAAGAATAGTTTGAAAAAGTGATTGGAAAACTTTTTACTTTAAAAAATATCACCAACCTACTTGTAAAATACAGCATTTATTGGAAGCTTATGTTCTGATCTCTTCTGCCATCTCAGATGTGTTTGAAAAGTTGAAAATTCTAGTTTAAAATTTAGCTTTCACATATAGCAATGATGCATTTACCTATGAGCCTTAACACCTTGCATGAACAAAATGAGGTTACGTAAATTTATTTGCATTTAGACCTATCACTGCGTATAAAAGAGTAAGAGTATTCTTCCTCTGCCCTTCTTCTGTGCAGTGAAAGTAGCATGATAAAAATTGCCACCTCTGCTCCTGACAGAGCTGCCACCTCTGCACTGTGCTAAGTGGGAAGCTTATGAAATACGGTCGACACCGCAGTGCTGTAAATGCTTGTACGAAAGAAATGCAGTGTTTTCTCTACCCACCCTGGTTTTTGCTTGGCATTCTGAGCCAGGTTTTTTGTTTGCTGGATGGAGGATTTCTTTGTAACACCTAGAAATGGCTTTGTGGGTATTGTGTGCTCTGACCATCTGGAATTGGTGACTTTTGAGTCCCATTAGGATGGAGTGGGAACAGCTATGCCTGTAGT